CTAAGAAATCCGCGCGGAACGCGAAACAAATGATGCTTGTGCCGTCTTCTTTTCTTGAACGACCCCCGCGCGCCAACACCCGGGCCGTGCACTCCAAGGTCGGGCACCCCTCGGGCAACGAAGGCGGACAGGCCAGTGCTGCAGGTCTGTGAAGGCAATCCAGAGACTTCTAAACAAGGAAACTAAGCATGCCGCATCTTCTCGTGCCCTCGCGTGGCCGTTGATGTACTCGCCACGCAACCGCGCTCAGTAGCGAATCGGTCTGAGGGCTTGTTCGTAGAAGAAGGAGAGAGGGAAGGAGCCAGGCGCTCCAAACATCGCGCGGGTCTTCAAGCCAAAGATCCGGGACCAGCCGAAAGCCGATCGCTGGTCATGGCGACCCCCGCGTGCCGACACCCGGGGCGTGCACTCCGAGGCCGGGCAACCCTGGGGCAGCGAGGCTGGCAGGCCCAGCGCTGACGCCCCGCCGGAGGGGAGGTGGTGCAGCTCAGACCTCCGGAGGCCAAAGCGCTGCGAACAGAGGCACGGAGTCGGAAGGCTACAGAGGGAGGGAGAGAGGGATAGAGGAGGGGGGGTAGGCGGAGTGGTAGGAAAGAAGCACCAGCCAGGAGAAGAGCCAAGGAGAGGGGAGAGGATGGAGTAAGGATGATGAGGGTTGAGGGGTGTAGGAGGGTGAGGGTGAAGGTTCCTCTTACTCCTTCTGCTGATCGTCTTCATCATCACCACCACCATCATCATCAGCAGCATCATCATCAGCCTCATCAGCCTCATCAGCAAAATCGCCACCATTGCACTCATCATCATCATCGTCATCAGCATCATCATCCTCATCAGCATCATCCTACTTAGCTGCATCATCATCATCCCCGCCACCATCACCACCCTCATCATCACCACCACCACCACCACCAACCTTATCATCATCATCATCATCATCATCATCATCATCATCATCATCATCACCAGCATCAGCATCATCATCAACATCATCATCACCATTATCCGCAACATGTGCTGCATCATCCTCAACAGCAGCATTCACATCATCATCATCATCATCATCATCATCATCATCATCATCACCAGCCGCAGCAACAGCGGCATCATCATCACAAGCAACATCACCATCGACTGCAACAGCATCAACATCATCACCACCATCATCGTCAGCATCGTCGTCATCGTCATCATCACCATCACCATTATATATACACATCTGTCTGTGTATATATATATATATATATATATATATCGACCCACCTCTCCAATCAGCGTTCGTACACCGAAGAATATATAACCATTCTAGCCGACAAGCATCTATATATATATATACATACATACATACATATACACACATGTATACAACACACATTTATAGATGTGTACACCGATCCCTATGTATACATATGTGCAGCCATATATTTCCATGTGTATATGTATGTATATATATATATATATCGGAATATATATGTAACTTGCTATATATGAATAGGTGTATCCATTCATATACATAGGTATATACGCACCAGTCGACCCGTATATCTATATACATACCATTCGAAGTGTGTACAGATTTATATGTAGATGCGCGAATGTGCATATGTATGTATACTTGCATATATGCACGCACCCCATTGTATATGTCTACAGCGGGGGGCACTGCAACCCCCGCCTAAACGGGACCCTTCGGACCCGTGGCCCTGGCGATTCCCTGGACGCCCCTGTCGAAAGTCCCCCGCACTGTTGGGAGTTCCTGGGAGCCCATGCGCCAGGCAGCGGGCCAAAATCGGTCAGGAGGGCGACCGAACGGCTCCCCGCGGGCCCCAGGAGGCCCCAAACACCCACCAGACGCCCGAAGGCGACACAAGAAACACCCCCAACAGGCCTCCGAAATGCAGAAAGCCAGTTTTTGTTGTTGTTCAATTGTTGTTGTAAAATGGTGATGATGCTCTGTTCGTCGGTTTTCAGGCGCCCGACACCGCACCAGGGGCCCGAACATCATGCCAACACTATCCGAAAAAAAAGGCTCCCAGGCAGCCCCAAAAAACTCCCAAAACAGCCCAACACGGCACCAAGATTTTCTCAAGAGAGCCCCATGACGGCCCAACATGTCACCGAGACCACCCCCCCCGAAACATTTCAAATCGTGACGCGGCAGCCCAGGGAAACCGCAGTTGGAAGCGGGGTGGCCCGAGGAATCCCCCAGAGGCCCCCAGAAGGCGCCCAGGGAAGCCTGGTAAAACTTGCACGAGACCCCCCAAAAAAAGCTCTCCAACGAGGAGCCTCTTCAAGAAAGGCAGAGGAGGATGGGGGTAATTATCAGGACAAGGCGGGAATGAGGACTAGGAACAAGAAGTACGACGGAAACATGCCAGGTTCCATTATTACGATGACGATGTCGGACGGATCAACGAGGAGTTCTCGTTATCTGTTCTGCTGTACCGCCCTGCCCTTTTTCGGCCGTTCCGCCCGCCTGCCAAGTATTCAAAGACCCACGTGCATGGCGCGAAGCGCCGATGCCGTCTTGAAAAAATGGACCCATCCCGATGTAAACGTGCTCCCATGGATATAGTATGCAAATGCGTGTATATATCCCGTGCTTCGATATTCAGTGATGTACATGTACATATATATATATATATATATATACATATAAGTGTATATGTATGCATACTCATGTATGTATATATATATATATATATATGTATGTCACGCAAAACATGATTGCACACATTTCTAAGCGTGTCTTTGTATGTCTGCATACCAACATGGCAATGTGTGAATGTACATAGCGGCGTGTCAATGTATTCACTTCGGTTTACAGATACATGTGTATACAAACATATATATATATATATATATATATATATATATGTGTGAACATATACATATATGTATACAAATATGAAATACATGTATACATTATAAGTGTACCGACGTATGTATGACCAACGAACCATACACGTACACACGCACATACATGCCGATCTATCCTTATCATATTTCGAAAAAGTTAAACGCGAATCCATAGCGATATACATAGATATAATTCATCAACTTAAGTACTCTGCCCAGAGACTCTGTGTGTTGTTTAGCCTTCTTCAAGGACCCACAATCTTCAGGGAGTAAAGAGGAGCCCCGAGGAGCCCATCAACAAAAAAGATCAGCCAACATATCCCCAAGCCCTCGGGCACGGCGTCAGCCTCTCCGTGTTCTCTTTTTCCAAGAAGACAGGCCGAAACACAGCCTGATGTTAAGCAGCCCGAAGAAATCTCACGATCAGATCGCTGGCGAGGTGGTAGGTGCACATGTTTGAACCCACCATGCAGAGAGATAACTGTACCATCACCTCGCTCTCCTGACCTGGCCAGCACAACGATGACTTTAAGTCGTAGTTGAGGGCGGTGGTGGGGAAGACGGAGGAGCACTTTGAGCACGTATGTCAACGGGTGCGGGCAGAGCAGGACGCGGCAGATAAAGACGCATGGCATTGGAAATTTACCATCAACTTAAGTATTATGCCCAGGGACGCTGCGCGTTGTTTAGCCTTCTTCAAGGACCCACAGTCTTCAGGAAGTAAAGAGGAGCCCCGAGGAGCCCATCAACTAAATAGATCAGCCAACATATCCCCAAACCCTCGGGCACGGCGTCAGCCTCTCCGTGTTCTGTTTTTCAAGAAAACAGGCCGAAACACAGCCTGATGTTAAGCAGCCCGAAGACATCTCACGATCAGATCGCTGGCGAGGTGGTAGGTGCACATGTTTGAACCCACCATGCAGAGAGATAGCTGCACCATCACCTCGCTCTCCTGACCAAAATCTAACAGCCAAAAACGTGAGTATGGTGGTAGAAGGGGGCGGACGGAGGGCGCAGAAAAAAAAAAAAAAAAAAAAAAAAAAAAAAAAAAAAAAAAAAAAAAAAAAAAAAAAAAAAAAAAAAAAAAAAAAAAAAAAAAAAAAAAAAAACAGAGATATACTTCAGCTCAGTCCTGCAGGCCTTGCGGCAACCTGCTTCGCAGTGCAGCGCGAAGGAGTCCCTGAGCCTGCGGTAACTTTGCCAACAAAGATGCCGGTACTTTCTTCCTCTGTGACAAAAGCCGGGCATGCTTCTTGTAGCGTTGCACGCTCTTGATGGCCTCCCAGCGCCCACGGCGACAGATGAGGTCAAGTGTGCGGCGCTTTCTCAACAGGTCATTGCTTGGCCCAGAGCGCCGAAGCACATGAGGAGTGATGTTGAGTGCCGAGAGACCTAGCCCTTTTCACAGCCCGCTGGAACTCTTTCTCATTCAAGAGCAAAGTGAGGTGGGGGAACAGCAACGCGTCAGTAGGCGTTACACTGTGTAGCAGCGCGAGCAGCTCCACCACCCACTCTGGCCCATGAGATCCGCAGATAACGTGCTCGTCGACGTTGCCTGTCTTGGTGCGCTTGCCCCTGTCGGAAGAGCCGAAAACGGCGGCCCACTTGCGATGTGGCGCTGCTGCCGTCGGCGACGGTGCGATGACGCCATCGCAGTGCAAGTCGAGGATCTCGGAAGGTCGGGCGTAGAGGTCGTACTGGAGGATGCCTGCCGCAGCTGCCTCCAAACCGTCGTGCTCAGCTAGCCACAAGAGGATTTAATAATATTATCTCCTCAGGGCAAGGCTTGACGACGAACTCACGAACCAACTTTGGCCAGCCCTTGAGAGACTCGATCAAAGGGTCAAGGTCAT